CTGACTGTAACTGATACAAGTAACCTTCACAAGCCATGCGCATCCCTATCAACTCTGAAAAATCTAGAGCATTCTGATATACGAAGAAATATGGGCATAAAAATAGTTAGTTTCACAGGGTGTCCACTGTGTGAGTTGTGTATACTGGCATTGGACCAGCACGTGTTGTGTTTTTATTTATTTTATGGAGTTGGAATTAGAAGAAGTTTAAACCTCTCTGGGAAATGATGATCAATTTTACATGGGTCGTAACCACACCCCTTTAAAATTGTCTTCCTGAATTCACGCTGAAGGTCATTAAAACAAATATAATGGGTTATGTAGGAAATGAATCGTTATTCATGAATGTATGTACTTGCTTTTGCATGTCTGAAAGAATTATGGCAAAATATAACAGCAGCAACAAGAGCAAACACCACAAACCAAAGAGATTTGAGGAACTTGTGCAGCAGTGAGAAATTCAGCCCCCAGCTCCTGGCAGGGGGAGGCAAGGCAGTGCTGGTGGTCAGATTTTGTCCTTTCTGTGGATGTAGTGAGTAGCTGGGAAGTTGTAAGCAGAGGTGTGAATTTCTCATATTTGTGTGTTGGGCATGTAGTGAATGGTGAGGATGGAAAAGCTGATGGCAGCTCTATTGTTATTGTTGAAAGTTAACTCAAACTTTTCTGAGCATGAAAAAGTTTATTTTTAACTTTGAATTTGAACTATATGAACTTCTGTGATAATGACACTTGGTAAATACTCCTCATGCACTTGCTGAGTTTTGTACTTTGTTGGAAGAAAATGTCAGTTGCCAGTTTTAAACTTGTGTGCATTGACTTGCCCATCCTGCACTATTCTTTTAAAATAATCTTTAGTTTTCTTCTATGTACAGGGAAAAAAAAATGACCTGTAGCATGTCTCATTATTTTCTACTGCACGCCAGCCACGCAGCTCAAGAGAGGTAGTATCTTTTGTGTTTGTGATTAAAAAAAAAAGAAGCCCCAAATAAAAAAAAATAAATTCAGCTTTCACGTTGCGGTATAATTGTCTCAGCTTTCTTTCACAAGCAGAATAATGTGAGTGGATAATGTATAAGCTGTTATGCTAAAACCTCATCCCAAAGAAACCTTCAGGTGAGGGGAGGAGGTACACAGAGAGAAGGGATTCCATTTTTGAAGTCACTCTAATGGCTTTCTGTTTGAAACTAGGCAGCAGGGCTGAAGTTATCAGAAGCAGTATTGAGTGTATGTAAATAGTTTGACCAGTCCACTGTGCTAAACAGTCTTTGGAAGAAGGTGAAACTGGTGTTTTCAGGAATTCAGGACTAGTTCTGTTGGGTACAGCACAAATATACTGTGTGCTACTAACTCTGCTCCAAAAACTTCAACAAACTTGCAGCTAAGGTGACTTGGAGTAACCTGTTTAGGGAAATTATGTAAAATGGAAGGATTAAATAAATGTACCTTTATTTGTAGTTAATAGTTGAAGGGTTAGGTTTTCTTCCCAGTCTTCAAGCTGGGGTGAGCAGTGTAGTTGATATGTACAGATAAGCAACCCTATTAACGACCACATCAGAGGAACGTGGTTTTGACCTCACCAAGCAGGTGTATGGAAAGAAGATGCTTAACTGTATACACAAACCCATCTGTAGTGCATGCTTGACCAGGAGGAGGCCAACTTCATTTATTTATTGGAGTTAATTTAATCCCAACCTTAAAGCTCTGCAAAGCCGAGGGTCACCTGTCTTTTGATCCCTTCACATGGTTGTGCGGTGTATTTCCTTCACCAGAGAAGCCTGTGCAATGCCCACAGGATTGTGAAACAAGGAGTGAGACTGTAGCATCCATCGTGGTGACATTAACCACACTGCACATTGCGTCGGTCTTTACAAATAACTCTTTCCGAGTACTATAGTAGGAAAGCAATTTGTGTGTGCGTGGTACTTTTTGAATGTGTTTTATGATGGAGGATAGATAAAACATCCTATTTACTCAGTAGACTTCTTTAATAGAGGAAAACCTGGAGTTTATTTGAAACAAGAGGGTGTCCCAAGGTGCAGCGACACCAGGAGTTAAGAACTACCTCATTCCACCAGGTGCTCTGGCTTCAGTGGGAGGGAGTGGGCAACTTAGATGCTGTTAAACAATTCTGTTTGATGCTCTCTCCGTTATGACATGCTTAAAGTGTTGCAAAGCACACACTGAGTTTATAATTCATGCCTACAAATAGTGTGTATGATTTCCTTCCACTAAATGTCTAAATCTGCTTTAACAAAATAGAATTGTAGACAGGCTCCTAAATTAGCGTTGCTTGTGACCTACTTGCTGAAGTCAGAATTTTATTTGTAGTGCTACAGAGCAGTTGGAGGGAAGATGATGATTTGCAGAAGTTTCTGGTTTTTGTTGTGTATCAACAGATCTGTTATTTAAAATCTGTTACGTAGATTTACTGTTTTGTGACCAAATCTAAAAATACTGATTTATTTTTATATGTTAAAAATATCATTTAAGAAATAGGAATTTCTGCTTTGGGCTGTGAATGAATAGTAGATTGCTTTAAAGAAATACATAATTTGTACAGCTGATATTTTTTTATCATCCACTTATGTTTATCAATGTTAAATATATAAAAGACCAAAAATCAGAAGGGTGGCTTTGTTCAGGGGTATTGCATATTTTGTATTTTGCAGTGCTTGCTGCTAAGTGATGTCAGCAAATGGAAATGCTACAACTTGTTCACTGTCTCTTCAAGTGGAAGTAGGAATTCCCAAACTTAAGTATAGTCTTTTAGTCTTTCATTTTGGTTAATGGCTGTAGGATTTCACACTCTTGAGGAAAAAAAAAAAATTAACAAGGAGTTCTTGATCAACTGTATTGGATTTTAAAAATGGAATTCATTAAAATTTTGGCCTCTTAGGTACAAATTAATGTGATTATGTCTGGAACATAATTAATTCGAGCTGTTTCTCCCTTTCTTAAAAGGTGGCTTTAATGAGTTACAGCTTCCATTTTAGTAGATTGTTCATGGAACAGGCAGGCTCAGGAATAACTGGGTTAAACCAAGAGATTATTTGAAAAATCTAGGGCATGTGCTCTCTCGGTTCACTTGATTAGTTTTCATAATTCACCCCTGCTTCCACAGCAAAGAGCAGTGTAATACATGCAAACAAGAAGCAGTTTTCATTCTTTTGTGCTCCTTCATCTCTGTAATTTTACTGGAGGAAGTTAGTGTAGTGGGAAAAGAGCCATATTTTGTGAGAATGTTTAGAACAAATCTTGGTTTGTTTTGTGAAAACCCATTGGATTGAGAAGCAGATGCTATTTTGGGATGTCTGTCTGTGACTCTGCTTCAGTTCTTTTCTGTTTGACTACAGGTGCATGAAGAACAGAGGAGATATTTCGGCTTATCAGAGATGATGTGGAGAGACACTTTGTGAGTAACTGATGTGTGTTTTCTAAAAAGCCCAAAATGTGAATGTGGGAATTAATTTTTTTTTTTTTTCTCCTAACTTAGAGTAACTGTGTCATTTGCCTAACAGTTCCATTTGGTTCTGGAAAGCTGTGAATGTAGAGCCCTTCATGGAAACCATAGACAAAGCTGACTGTTGACATAAAGAGCTGGGTGTCAGAGCAGTAGAAGACGTATGGCTTCATAAATGATTAACCATGACGCCTAACTTTTCAGTAGTGGTCAGTCTACCAAAGGCTTTTACTGTTGACTGCTGAATGTGTTCTAGACATCAGTAAAAACCCCTGACATTGGGTATATGTGTAACCTTTAGTAGGGTTAACTCTGTACTTGCAGAAGCTCTTTTGTCGAACTTATAGGCACTACCTATTCTACATGGCAGGTTATTAACACTTTATTGTTCTTGTTTAATTCGGATTGGAAGTCTGATGTATTTGCCATAAAGAAGATTGGAATAGTAGCAGTCAATAGAAGCTTTCCTGTAAGTTTCCAGTTCCTGTCTGCTGGAACACAACAATATTCTGAGAGTATGCAGCTACACTACACTCCCAAAATATTACAGGAAAGGAAGAACGTCTATGACAGAATGTAACTATACCTAAATCAGTACTTAAAGGATTTACTTTTGTGGAAACAAAGTCATTTTTTATGATCACAATTAGATGACGCAATGTCTTATTTGTCAGATGGACTCCATAAGTACGCTATGTTTCTAGTGCTCCAAACTCATCAGCCAGCTCTTTCCTTTGGGGTGATTAGTCCCAGTGTTTCCCTTTTTTTGCCAAATTTCCATTAATAGTTGAGAATTAAAGCAGCATGTTATTTTAGGATTTTTGCATGATAGTCTCTGTGCTTATTTTTTTAGTTTTAGGTATGAGTAATGTGGTCTTGAGTGCTTTCCTTTAAGTCGTAAGTTCTTATACTCTGAAGCTACTGCTTTGTTCTAATTATAATTATCTAGGAGAATGGTGCCTTTGTGGACAGCTTCAGTGCTTTTTTTGGCACTGAAGAGCTCAACTTAGAAGAACTGCTGTTACTTCAGGCACCTTGATTTCTAAATATTTTTGCATTTGTAGTATTAGCGCTACACGATTAAAATTTTGTTCTTTTTTTTTTAAATTGAAAAATATCCTTTTATTATAATAGATTAGTAGTTGGTTAAACTCCTAAATAGGAACCAGTTTGAATTCATATGTGGGATTTGCCTTTTTGTTACCCACATCTAAGAAAAAATATTTTTAGGCTTCCTTTGTCCTGGAGCCCTTTGCGTATTTTCATAGGTACAGTTTTGTGATTTGTAGTTTAGAAACTACTTTAAAGAAATGGTCATTAATGCTTAATTTTCTCATTCTGGGATGAGGTTCAGCATCTGCAAATAGTGGGTGGTGGTCTGTCTTGCTTTCAGTCAAGGGAAAATCTGCTTCGAGATAGTATTGGCTTGTAGTCATCTTTCCCTTGGCTTCTTTCAGGCTCTCCTTGCCAGTTCAGGAAGGCTGAGGGAGGATTTCTTTGTAATGGTGTCCTGGCCAGGTGCTGAATTCTTTACGAAGCAGCTGGAGAAATCCTTGTGGTGATCCAGCTGTCTTACTCGGGAAGCAGAGTGTTGATTTGATTTACTCTGTGGCCCTTGAGATCACTCTGTTGTGGCCAAAGGCCATGAAGGCTTTGTCACAGTTGCTGAGTAGTAGTGATAATATGTAATATTGTTCAATAATAACAATTTAACTTTTAATAATAATATTTTAAATAGAAATATTATGTTCTGTGATGTCTTTTGTGGATAACCAGAATAATGGAGTATTTGATTCCTTGATCATGGGGCACGTTCTTTCTGTCCTTGTTTTCAGATTCTGATCAGGGTTCAAGCCGAGTCCCTGGGTTAGATCTCGTGGGCAGAGCTTCCTCCTGCAGCTCCTTGAACTGCTCTGGTCTGTCCCTCAGGCAGTCATCTTTTGGCAGTCCCACCTCTGACCCAGGTGGATAACCAGAATAATGGAGTATTTGATTCCTTGATCATGGGGCACGTTCTTTCTGTCCTTGTTTTCAGATTCTGATCAGGGTTCAAGCCGAGTCCCTGGGTTAGATCTCGTGGGCAGAGCTTCCTCCTGCAGCTCCTTGAACTGCTCTGGTCTGTCCCTCAGGCAGTCATCTTTTGGCAGTCCCACCTGTGACCCAGCAAGACAGGCAGGACTTGCTCAGGGGTCTACGAGTTCCTTAGGCTGCCTCCTTTGTGGATAACACTGTTCTTAAAAGTGTCCCTGTTTAAATTCTCCAAACTCAGCAGAGGTTTCTGCTGTTAGTAATGAGGTGAGGGGAAATCACCAAAGACTTGGTTTGGTTCAGACTCTTCTGTTTTAACTTTTTAGGCTGCTTCCTTAGGGCAAAGGGGCTTTTTCATAACTTAAAATCTTCACCCTTTAAAAAAAAAATTCTTTAAACTCTTGCTATAGCTTTCTAGAAGGTATAAGACCAAGTGAAGGAAGTAGAAGTTGTGTGGACAGCTGGTGTGTTCCTGTAGCTTTACCCCCTGGCTGCAAGCCAGATACTACATTAGCCTGTTCCTGGCTAACGATCCCGGAGCAGGGACAGTCCCAAAACTGCAATCCCAAAACAGAGATAAGAGCCTGAGAGACCGAGATGACCCTGAGAGAGGGGTGACCCAGAGGGAGACAACCCAGTGCAAGAGAGAACTTCCAGACAGACCCTCACCTGTATACTGGCACGATGTGCATGATATGGAACAGACCATTGGCCAATTTGGGTCTCAGTCCTAAACCTAAGGTTGAATCCTAGGCCAGTAACTGGGGCTGTGCTCCCTCCCAGCTTCTGCTGCCCTTGCAGACACAGGCACAGCTGAGAAGCTGAAAAGCCCTTGACTGTCCTGGCAACAGCTATAAACATCAGGATGTTATCAGCCTTCTCCTCAGCACAAGTCCAAAACACAGCCTCAGCTAGCTATTCTGAAGAAAGTTAACTCTGTCTCAGCTGAAACCAGGACATCTGTACAGGCTTGTGCAAGTTTGATGTGCTTTAAACAGGTACAGTGTGTTAGACAAACACAGTTGTATTTACTTGCCAACTGTGTATCACTCTGCAAAAATTTGCAGTTCAGAAATAACTCAATTATTTTTTAATAAGATATCTTTGTTATTATCAGTTTAATAAAATTGGAACTTGATTGAGCTCTTTTTTGAAACAAGAAATAGAGTTTAGGTATGTATATTCGAAGTATCAGTCTACATACCTTAGAATATTTTAATCGTGATGCCACAGTTACTGATAATACATAGGTTTTTCTCTGAGTGTATTGCAGATGTTGACTATATCTTAGTGTGGTAGTTCTCAGAAAAGGCTCTGTGAAAAACAGACATCAGTTATTTTGTGGGGCCAGCGTTTGGTTCCTGCAGATGGTTGCTGTTAAGAACCTTTTAGTTGCATAGCAGTCAGCTTTTCACGGCCTTCAGCATATGGCTGGGTCAGGTTGTGTTCTGATGCTTAAGAGAGCGGATAAGGCTTACAGCCAGTGACACCCACCGTGAACAGCGTTTCTGGATTTGCCTACATTAAGGCTCTTCTGTGCCAGCATTAGTAGCTGCAATAACAGGTAATATTTTTCTGGAAAATATTTTTCTAATAATTTCATTAGTTCTTATGGGATTATTGCAAGGGTGAATATGAGTAAGATATAATGGGATAGCTTGTGAATTTAACAGAGTTTAGTCCTTGTTGCAGGGTGGAGGTGCAGGAACTGGTATCTTTCCCCAGTTCTCCATGGTCATAACTTTGGCTTTAACCTCTCTGCTCTAATATCTCTTTCTGTGGGTGGTATTTATACAGTTACAAAGTTTGTGATATGTATAATGGAAATTGCTATTTACCTGTTACTGTTGTTTTTATTGTGGTTATTACTGTGCACTTATAAATGTGCAGTATTTCTGGTTGCAAGTGGAATGTTCCAGCATCAGTCTTTAAAGTGCTTAAAATAAATACTGCAGCTTTGTCCATTCAGGTAAAAAGGTGCTTTGTTAGTAAAGTGAGAATGTACAATAAAAGCTTTTTCATTTAGTAGTATTGACTCCTACATTCACAAACTTCAAAAATATTAACTCCTAAGTATACTGGATAATATTTAACTTAAAATTGTAGAAATAACGTACTTCAACCAAAGCACAGAGATGCACACCCATTCCCTATGCTGATTTTTTTCCTGACAGGCTGGCTGAGGGTGCCTTGTTCTACTTGACATCTGCCCATGTCTGAGTAAGTCTAATTTGTACGGTAGTAATAGGTACTTGAGCTGTGCCCTCGGTAATCAGTAGATTAGGGGTGTAAGTGACAAGTTGGACACCGAAGGGACATGCTGTATCTAAGCTATTCAGTTTCCTCGTGAATGGACTAATATGTTCCGTTGGCCTTCCCTGATCTTAGTAACCACATAAAGCTTTATGCTCTCAAAATAACTGACAGTCAGCAGCTGGTTTCTTACCAGGATTTTTTTCACTGCGGTGAGGAGAAAGTGGGATCCACGTATCATGAGTCAGGTTGTCTTACTGGCAATAATACAGGCTTTTCTTTCACTTGTATTTGCTGGATTGCTTCTGTGTGCCTTTATTTTTTTTTTTTTTTAAATGCAATGCTTATCTAATCAAACTTTTGTTGGTGGAATCAGTTTTACAAGTGTGGATTTACTAAGTGTAGAATGAACTTTAATATGCTGAAAATGGAGCCGTAGGTGACTTATATTGGAGACAGGTTTTATGAGGGATGAAAAATACAGGTGAAATGCAAATCCTTTACAGAACACTGAATCTATAGTAAAACTGTAAGGACTTAAACATTTTAAGAACCCTTTAACATCAAATCTATTGGATATTTTTGGGCCAACTAATAAGCTTGGTAAAATTTTGATTCGTCTTGCCATAATTACGTGAGAGTTTACGTTTGGTTCATTATACAAATCCAGA